AGAGAAGACAGTCCTGCCCAAATCTACTAAATTGAAATCTGCATTTGAACAAAATCCCTAGGTGATTCATTAAAAGTTGGAAAAGTGAGGCTCACAAAATTACTAAATTTATTAGTAGGCTATAGTTAAAAAAAATTTTGTCTCTTTGCAATAATTTGGGTAAACAGGTTTGAAAAGAAATTTAAACATTTAGGATTCTATAATCCCAGGATTAAAATTTTTTTCTAGCATCAAATTCTATTTTTATTTCAAATATAAGTAACATTTAAAGAAACGAACTTATAAACCTCCATTCTAACTACTATTTTAAAATAATTTTCTCAATCTTTGACCATTTTAAGATCTGTTTTCATTAGTTTCATATGACCTAGAATTATGTTTATAAATATCATTAATTTTATTACAAATTAAATATATATTAATACCAGGAAGTTTCAAAATGCAAAAAAGGAAAAATTCATCTCTACTTTTATTACTCACTTTATGCTTTTGATGTAAATCCCTTTGAGTATCCCAAATGTGTTCATGGTATATATAGTGTTTTGTAATCTTTCTTCTACCAATTAATATTGTTTTATGGCTATAGTATAGTTACTTAAACTTATATTTTTCTGGCATTTAAGTAATATTTAATTGAGTACCCTTCTAGAAAACATTTTGGCAAATTATCAGTTATTTCCTTAGAATAAGTTTCTAGCATAGGAACCACTCATATTCTTTTATTCAACTTTAAATGCTGTGCTCTCGGAGTAATACCTGAAGTAAGCCTCTTTTAGCAAATATACAAGGACACAAAAAAGCACACACTGAAATAAGATGTAGCTTATTTACTTACTTTCCCCTTGGTGCCCATTTTTCTTGCAAAGTTTGCCTTGGAAATTTCTTTCTGACTTAATAAGACCTTGTCCTCTATGCAGCGCGCTCTGTGGCCATGTATTATGAAATCTTTGAATAAATATCTTTGCTGCTGTTCCAGTCTCCAATCATTTTCATTCTATTTTATTGCTTCATAGCTCTGCCTATCTCTCACCAACTGACTTTTGCTGTCACATTGTAGCTGTAAATTTGTTGTTATTAGACAGTCCAAGACTTTGTTTGTTATTTTTTTCTTTTATGGCAAAATATAAAATAGAGAAACATGCATTAAACACATAAGGATGAGTTAAAAATAATTATTAAATAAAGGACTTTTCTACTGCCCTGAAACTTCCCTTTTACCCCTTATTCTTCACAACCTGGATAATCTTTTCCTTGCCTATTTTATGGTTTTACTATATATCTATGCTTCCCTATATAAGTTTTATCTATTAAAATTATATGAACAGAATCATAATGTATGTATTCTTTCATGTATTTTTTTCCTCTGTGAGATTCATTCACATTGCCTGTACTTGTAATTTATTCACATTACTGTAGAAACCCCCCCTGCATGAATTGACCATAATTTATTCATCCGCTTTCTTTTCTGTTTTTTCCCCCTTTCCACTTTTGTGCTTATGATAACTTAGTGGTTACATAAAAATTCTTTTCATGTATCCTATTGCACATGTATTTGAGTTTTCTTAGGGAAAATTTAGGATGATATTCAGCCCACATATACTAGTAAGGATGCCATCTTAAAATATTAAAATACTTATGTTCAGGTTGCTAAAAAGGCATCACCTCAGACCACCAAGATCCCCTCCACCTCTGTTGTGATCTGGGGAACCCTGTTTAATCACTGCTAGGGAGCTGCTCTCATTGTTCCTCCTGGCATGTGAGACTATCAAATCCCCCCAATGGTTCTGGGTCTCTGACTGACTCAGGAACACCATAATTCCTGAAATCACGGTGCCCTTCTGACTTCCTGGGGTTGTGACCACTCATGATGTGGGCCACAACTCCCCCGGAACTCCACTCATATGGCTATTATGAGAAATGGGGTGTCTTGTACTGTTGGATAAATCTTTGGACTGGGTGTGGAATTATTGGATCTTCAACTTTGACACTCAAGGCCAAAGAGATTTACAAAGTAACTTCACTAACCATCAACAGTATAGGAGAATTCTCATTATTCTACATCTTCACCCATGCTTACAATTACCACACTTTAAAAGTTTTGATATTCTGGTGGTGTGTAACAGTATGTATATGTCTTTTTTTTTTGCATGTGTGTATGGTACTGGGGAATGAACACAGGACCTCAGGTGTACAAGGCAAACACTCTACCACTGAAGTTACATCCCCAGCCCCTGTAAGTGTGTTCTAAATTTGTATTTCCCTAATGAGGAGAGCACCAGTGGTGTGCTGGAAGAGGCCTCAGAATAGTAGATCCTTGAACTTTTGGAAATGAAGATTTCTGTTTCAGTAAGCTTTTTCTTTGCTGTGACCAAAGACTGAGCAAGAACAATTTTAGAGGAGGAAAATTTTATTTGGGAGTTCAAGTTTTCAGAGGTCTCAATACATAGATGGCTGACTCCATTTCTTACAGCCTGGGATGAGGCAGACATCATGACCAAAGAGTGTGGTGGAGAAAAGTAGCTGTGAATATAGTGCTAGGAAGCAGAGATAGATTAAGTTTAGCTAACCAAATGGTACTGGGAATTGAACACAGGACCTGGGGACCCACTCCTTGAACCACACCCTACCAGCCTATAGTTACCACTCAGTTAATCCCTATCAGGGGATTAATTCACTGACTGGGTTAAGATTATCATAATCCAATCATTTCACCTCTAAACTTCTTCCCTGGTCTCATATAAGAGCTTTCGAGGAAC